AATTAAAATAAAATTAAAAAAAATGAATTAAAAAAATAAAATATTTTTAATAAAACTTTTACCCCTATATTTTCATTAATATCATTTTAATAATTTTAACACTTAAATTACAATGCAACATGACCTAAAGAAACGTAAGCATCAATGAGTACTATTATTGTGAAAAATGATCTAAAGTTTAACTTTTTTTTTTTTAATAAAAATAATAATTAAAAAATTAATAAAAATTAGTTGTTAGTAATTGATTTTTAAACTGAAAGAACATTCCATCTCATCCAATTAAACGCGTGATCATCATATTGATTTTTTATGGAGTTCATGACGTGAAATTCAAAACTATAATCACCTCGTTCGAATACTTAAAACTTGGGATGAATTATTGGGCCTAAGGCCCGGTTCGGTCTAAAGTTTAACTGACGCAAAACTTAAAGGGGCTTTTCGGCGCACATCATAAAGCATGACGTGACCACCACTTCTTAGTTCTTACAGAAACGACAGACTACTAAAGCGCGACCATCTGTTCTTTGTCTCGCCTCCGGTATCCATCAACGCCGGCGTCTCACTGCTTCAACCCGCAGGTTCGATTTCCTCTGTTTTCCGTCCCCCTATCTAGGGTTTAGTAATTTTTTTCAAAAAGTCCACGCTTTTCTTCTTCTTCTCCAATCTCACTGAACTCTACTTGCTTGAGTAGAGTGAGTGTATTGACTATACTTTTCTAAAATTCACGGAATGGAAGAGGCAGAGTTAGAACGCAGCTAATGTCCCACTATCCCAAATTTTTGAAAGTTTTCATTTTGGTTTGATTGTAAAAGTTAAAACTTTGACATTCCAATAACCACAAAGCAGTCAAATTTAGCCCAAAGAAAAGGATGTTTATGGAGATATGACTAACGTTATTGCCTCTGGCTGTTGCCTGATTTTAGGGTTTTGTCTTGGAAAATAAAGGAGTTGCCTTTATTGCATCTTGCTAGTTCAGGTAAATCCTACAACTTATAGAAACACTTATATGTCCATGTTTAGGATTGATAACGTTTTCTTTACTGAATTGCTTTTTGAATTTTTTGCAGACTTGAGTAGAAAATGAGCTCTGCAACTTTCAATTCTATATTTTTCAATCAAGGATGTTTGTGGAAGGTTTGTGTCTATAGATGTCTATGTATCCCGAGAGAATCCAGGAATAGGAATGGAGTGAGAATTCTAAGTTCATGTTTCTGACTACCAACTGGCTTTGTATTTTCAAATTTTAGTTTTAGTTGTTCATTTTTGGTTTATATGTTTTTTCTTTCGAAAACTGATTTTATGTTGTCAAATTTGTGCTCAAATTGTAGCAAGAAGTGAAGATATCAAAAATCAAGCACCAAAATGAGAAATCAAGGCTTTATGTTGGAGGAACTGGAGCATTGTCAGTAAAATGTTCTCAAGCTACTGATGGTAAAGCTTCAAAACGTGAAAAGGAAGTTCGCATTGGTCTTCTTGGTGCCAGTGGTTACACTGGTGCAGAGGTTTGTACCTTTGAGTGTTATTGATTTTATGATTTGGTTCAATAATATGTATTGTGCACTTGCCGGGCATTTTGTGGTTGGATGGAAACTGAGATAATCCTTTTTTCTTACAGATTGTTCGCCTTCTGGCAAACCATCCATATTTCGGCATCACATTAATGACTGCTGACAGAAAAGCTGGTCAATCAATGGGATCTGTGTTTCCTCATTTAATAACACAAGTAAGGCTCTTTTTTGGCTCCATTTGGTATAAACCTTCCTTTTCCAGGACTTCCTGGCCTTGATTTTTAAGATAGCAGATGTTGAATTGTTGAATGGGCTAAAGTTGTGTCTGCTTGCTACAATTATGACCATACCTTTTCGTTGTTGCTTCCAATTGACTACAGACTACAGAGTCTCACATCCAATTGATGGTGTTTGATTTGGGTCATTATCATGATGGTGCTTTCTCGATGTTGATTGAGTACATTGATTTTTGCAGGATCTACCAACTATGGTTTCCATTAGGGATGCTGATTTTTCTAATGTAGATGCTGTATTTTGTTGTTTGCCTCATGGAACCACTCAGGTCCTCCCCTTTTACCTTGCAACTTTGAAGTTTGCATCAGTCTTCTTTTTGTAATATGGATTTTTATTGTGTAATACTTGCAGGAAATCATCAAAGGCCTCCCTAGGAATTTAAAGATTGTTGATCTTTCTGCGGTATATTTCAACACACAGTTCCTATTTTGCAGTGCTTTTTTAGTTCTGTTTGCATGATATTTGCAATTCTTCAGAGCTAAATTTTATGTGGAATATTCAGGATTTCCGGCTGCAAGACATTGCTGTCTATGAAGAATGGTATGGTCAGCCTCATAGTGCACCAGATTTGCAGGTTCTTTCATCAATATTTGTTTACCGCTTATAATATCTAGTTGATATTGCCCCATGAAATCTGAAATAAGAACATTAATTTTTACATATGAGAAATTAGAATGAATATAAAATCTCTCTGGTCTCTAAGCAACTTTAAGTTATGGTTGAATGGCATGGACAAAACCTGAGCCTTGCTGATTGCATGATCAATTTCCAACTAATGATTCCTCTTTCCTTGCGAAGCCATACATCTGTAGTTAGATACTGTATGGTATTGATTTGTTGCATTTTCATTCTTAAAGGTTGTCTGTTATTCTCTTTCCATATCCCTTGTTCTTTATGTTAATGAGTCTTTTTCACCTTGTCCAGAAAGAAGCTGTATATGGTTTGACTGAGATTTTGAGGGAGGAAGTGAAAAATGCACGCCTAGTTGCTAATCCTGGTTGTTATCCAACATCAATTCAGCTTCCCCTTGTTCCCTTGATAAAGGTTTGGAACCATTTTCATTTTTTATTTGATGCTGGATATTAGCTTTTATTTGGTTCAGGCACCAGTATTTATCTGTTGGCATTTTGATCTTCCTAGCCACCTGCCTCATTTCTCCATTTTTTGATGAAAAAATATCAACAAAGGAAAGAGGAAAAGAGAAACGTTGGGAGTTAAGTCAGCACTGCTAAGAAACTTGTGGAGTTTGATTTTACTTCCTAATTTAGTTATGCTATCAAGTAATTATGTGAAGTTTTGAGAACCCTGTAACTTGGTAACCAATCACTGTTAAATTGGAACTACAATCCCCAGACCGGAGGACATTTTTTCAATCTTGAAAAATAGATGCACATTATGTGAGACTATTTTTTGTAAAGCATTCTTGATATTCCTGATTGAGATGTGCTATGTGCGTGCATAATTGCTGCCTTTATTGTTAAGCCATTTCAATTTCTCACCTGTTTTGTTTAGATGTCCAATATTTTTCTAATTTACCTCAAGCTTGCAGGCTAATCTCATCGAGCACAGAAATATCATTATTGACTCAAAATCTGGTGTGAGTGGAGCAGGTTGGGCTTTGGATACAAGCTTTATATCTTTATGCATGTTCTCAGCAATATATTCTCATGCATGCTGGTTTCTTTATATTTTTCTGTATTTCTTACCTTCTTTCTCATGGAGGCTAAATTTTGCAGGACGTGGAGCCAAGGAGGCAAATCTGTACTCTGAAATAGCTGAAGGCATATACTCATATGGTGTTACAAGGCATCGCCATGGTGAGTCTTTTGATCATGTAAATTAGGCTCTTATGCATCATAGCCCATGGAAGTGAAGTACATTTCTTTTTTAATTGGCAAAGGAAGTTGGTATTTAGCTATTATAAGGATTCAAACTCTTGACCTTGACCACAGAATCATGTTTTCAAAGTTAACCATTATAAGTGAAATGCTTTATTATCTAGCTAGCAATGTTAGGTTAAGCTATTTAAAAGGCGGTTTACCTTTCTGCTTTTATTTGCAACCTGCTATATGGATTCTGTTTTGAGTTACAGTTCCAGAAATTGAACAAGGACTGTCTGATGCTGCACATTCGAAAATAACTGTCAGTTTTACACCACACCTAATGCCAATGGTAACAATTGCAATCTGATGTACATCAGTATTAATGTTCTGTTTTCTCTTGCAAAAAGTTAAGAGAACATAATTTTATTACCTGATTGCCATGCCAGAGCCGTGGAATGCAGTCAACTATATATGTAGAAATGTCTCCAGGAGTGACAGTTGAGGATTTATACCAGCAATTAAGAATAACTTATGAGGTAGATCTTACATAACATAACTTTGTTTACACTATTCTATTTATTGGGTTTGTTATTGATACATTCCTTAGTAATTTATATTTTTAATTAAGAAAACCACATTGTAGAATGTGCATACCTGCTATCTTGAAATCATGTTTTCCTGATGTTGAAATTTACAAGACTTGTATCGAGAAAAACTCATCTTATCCTTTGTTTACATTTCAAGAGAGGTGATTGAGTTAATGGCTTTAGTATTTTCCAGAGAAAATTTCATGGCATACAATCATATTCCTAGACCTTTTTCTATTTACATCACAATTCTCAAAAAAGTCCCAAGGAGTTTAGATTAGCTTCTTCTTTTTTTAATGCTTAAATCATCTAGTTTACTTTCTCAAAGTGTAAGGGTTGATTGTTTGGATGGAGATCATATGGAAGCAGGCCTGTTTGGTTGTTACTGGATCCTATTCAGTTGTTTGATTCTATTTTGCAGGAAGAAGAATTTGTGAAGTTGTTGGAGAAGGGCGTTGTTCCCCGCACTCATAATGTTCGAGGTTCTAACTATTGCTTTATTAATGTTTTTCCTGATCGGATACCTGGAAGAGCAATAATCATATCAGTCGTAAGTATCAAGCTTCATCTTTTTTGTAATTTCCAATATAAATATTGTCTTATCACTGCTGTCTAAGCTCTTAAATCCACTCTGCAGATTGACAATGTCGTGAAAGGAGCTTCAGGTCAAGCATTACAAAATCTTAATATAATGCTGGGATACCCAGAAAACACAGGGCTTCTCTACCAGCCGTTGTTTCCATGACATATTCCTCCATTCCTAAGTAAGGATTCACTGTTTACATTTATGTTTGTTTACATCCTTTACTCCCTCCGTGTCCTTTGGCAATTCGGTTGGCAAACAGACAGAACATTTCACTGTTTCTTGCGGATGATCATATGGTCAAATTTTTGTTTACAAATTATTCAGGTCCCATTCCTAAAATGCATAATTGCCGAGTGGAAGAAAGGATATTCCCAAAAACTTGTTATTTGATTTTTAGTTGCCGGAGGAGGTGAACTGTGGGAAACTGATCATGAGTTGAAGCATGGAGGGGAATCCATCCGTTTATATTGTGCCATAGAAATATATGATATTGAGTCATATGACATTATATATTTATGCTGGCCCAATTTTATTTTCCTTTTTTGACTCTAATAATTGTGTTTCAATTAGAATCCAATCTTCCAGAAGCTTAAGTATTGTGTTGTTGCGGAGAAATTGTGTTTCTATTCTTGTTTACAGTATTTTGAAACACTGAAAATTGGAAACCTTTTAGCTGTTTTGCCATCTTGTTTGGTCCAGTTTCTTAGTTGCAGCAGTAGTTGAAGGTTTTTCATTTTTCTCTCTTTTTTGGGGGAGTGGGGGTGGGCTGGTTGGTGTGGGGCAACAGCAATAGTTGAAGCTTGGTCGTAGTTTTTCTGAAAGCAAATTTTAGTTTTTGGACTCTAGAGGTTAATAATGTTACAAATTTATAATTTTTGGGAAGAGATTTTACTGTAAGATTTTTAATTTTAACAAAATTTATTAATTTTTTATGAGAATAGATTTATTTATACATTGGTTTTACACATTATATTTATATAAAATTATAATTATTTTTATTTTTATTTTTAATAATTAAAATTTATTATGGTTTTTTATATGAAAAGATAATTGTTTTAAATGATTTTATGGTTCAATTCCTAAGAAAAACCTCTTACAATGGTACCATTATAAAAGCCATGATCGGACTATATTTATTTATTTTATATTTTCAATTTGACTGAAGACAGATTAAAACAAAGGAGAAAAAGAATGTTTTGATTATGAGTTTGAGGATTTGTAATACGGCAAAACAAGGACAATCAGACGAAAAAGCTCCTCTGATGGTTAATGTTGTACAGAACAAAACATTTTTGTTTTAGACTTTTATTACTCATATCATATTTTTAATTTAAATAGTATTAATTTTTAATTTACACAAGGAAAAAATATTATGTTTGAAAAATAAATTATGAAGAATATCTTAAAATTATATCATTTCATTAAAATTTTATTGAAAAATAAAATAATTTTAGATATTTTTTAATGGTTAATTTTTTTAAAAAAATTATGTTAGTTTATTTTATTTTATTAAAATTACATAATCTTAGGTTGTATTTTAGAGGCTTGTCTGATAAAAATAATCTATACAAGTGAAAGTCTTGGAATCAGAAATAACTTAACAATTAATAAAAAATTATGGACAGCAATATAAAAATATTTTTTTATAATTTTTTATATAATTTTTATATGTTTTATATATTATTAAACGGATGAATATATTTAATATTAAGAGTTTTAAATAAATAAATAAAATTAATTATTTAATAATAAGTAAAATTATACAAAAATATAATATAAAAAATTATTCTTAAATTATTTTTCAAAATTTATTATACAATTTAAACTATATCTAATTTTATTTTTATGTATAATAATTTATATTTTATAATTTAATACAATTCATATAGCTATAAGATATGATTCTCATAAAGTTAATCCAAACCAAAAATGCAAGTGTTTACCCCCTTAATGGTCCACAAAGTAGCAGATCGTGACATCACTGCATAAACCCCAAACCCCCTCCCCCTTCCCTCGCGTCATCTAAAACATCGAAAGTTTCAGTTCATCATATCCTTTCATATCAAATTCAACAATGGCGTTTTGGTGCAAAGCATAAAAGAACCATCTTTCTAGAATTTTTGGGCAACCCCCAGGAGGGTTCTCGGTATTATCAGAAATGGCGATCATCCCATTTTCCTCTCGCTCGCATTCTGCTTCCAATTCACATCAATCCTTCACCAAGATGGCTCTTAGAACCCCTTCTCCTTCTCTTCAAGGGATCAAGGTAAGGTTTTTTCGTATCCCTGTGCTATGGAATGATATTGGTATTTTCCTTTTCGATGGTTTTTATGGTTGAAGCTTGTGTTTCTATGCTTTGTTGTATTTGGTGGATGGGAAAAAGTTCATTCAGCAACTTGGAATGAAAATTTTATGCTGAACGTTATGTTTGCCCCAGTGGAAATGAGTTTGAATGAGAATTTTTGAATGTTTGGAGTTTGCTTATGTCTTAATTCAATAGCTTTGGGGTGTTTATTTTCTCTGTCTCTTCGTTGTTGAGTTTGGCAATTGAAAACTAAGATCCAGGCAATGAGCAAGTAATGAGAAAGGTGAAAGCTTTAATCTTCTTTTATACTGCCTGCTGCTGCCTCGTGTTCTTTTTACTATTTTCCTGTAGGTTCTGTGGTTTATATTATAGCCCATGAATTGTATTTCACAAATTGGAAAAATGTTCAAAAGGATTTTAGCCTTCTATCATATCTTTTCACAGATATTTATGCGTCCTTTGATTTTTTTGCAGGGGTCTTTTTTGTATTTTAAGGCAAATAGATGTGGTTTGAATATTAAATCCGATGGAGTCATTCTGCATACCAAGCCAATTATCTGCGCTGTGGCTGCAGATGAGTCAGGGGATTCTGGAAAATTAAATCTAGAGCATGTAATTGAAAAGGCAAGGAGAATGTGGGACAGCTCTCCAGAGCCAGTCAAGAAATTCCCTTGGAATAGAGCATTGGAGAATTTTATTCAACTTATTGTTGATCTTACAGTTGCAGTTGTCAAATATTTAAGCATACCTTTACTGGCAGTCACCTCCCTTGGTGAGATGTCCTACTGTGCCCATGTAAAGAAGTTGGCTATTGTTCCTGTTCCCTTGCTCATTGGCTTTGTTGTTGCGGGAGTCTTAAGAAATACTGTCTTGGAACTTTCTTTCCTACTCAAGGTAGATAGTTTTGTGAAGAATGATTGATTACTGTTACAAACTTGTGCTTTCATTGAAGAAACTATGAGGATATTCTTTCAAAAATATAATTCGTCTACCTAAAAATTTGCTTCCCGTTTTTTGTTTAATTTCCCATTAGCCTCTGCTCTCAACCCCTCTCTCCTCCCTCTTCCCACATGAATAGAAATATCATCATTAGGCAAAATATTCTCTGTTTTACAGGTCGAGCCATGATAAGTGACTATTATTATTATTATTATTTGGGTAGCCACTGTATCTTACATTTTGTATGGTTTGCAGGATGCAGAGGTACCCTGGCATCTGATTTTGATTGCAATATTCTTTACATTGATCAAACTGCCAGGTCCATATTACCCGTTTTGGGGGCGAATTTTTATTCCACACTTAGCAAATGGGGCACTGTGGAGGACTGTATGGTCTATGTTTTTGTGGTATAGAAGACCTAAAATGGCTTCAGGAAGTTCTGCTCACCATAATTGAATAAAAGACACAGAAGAATAAGCTGTAACCTCATCAGGTAACAGTGTTTGGACCTGGACATCTGTTTAATGTCGCTTTAACTGCAAATAAGAGTGCTTCTAGTTGTCTTCTTTTGATGTTAGCTGCATTCACTTGACAAGGACAAGTGACATGAGAAATGAGTAACTTTTTTTCTTGTTGGCAAAATCTTGTAAAATTTGGCCGCTGAAAGGCAATGGGTTGTACATGGCCGTGCACATTTTCCCTGGGAAGTTCTTATGTTCTATTAATACAATATGATGGAGGATTCATATGCCAACGAATTGGTGTGAAACAGGTGTTATTCAAGCCTGAGATATTGATACATTTGCGCTGTTTAGTAGAGATTAAACAAGTTGGAGCTTGGGATGTTCAGAGGGGATCCAACAGCAATTATTTCCCCTTTTTCTTGTTATTTCACCCTTTTTGGGAGAGAGTCTAGGGAACCAGCGCCCGAAACTTTGCTTGATGCTAGGATATGTTATACCATGATGTTTGGCCCTTGCTGTTGTAAAACTTGAAAACATGAATGCCTGACTATTTTCTATATACTTTTCATACATCAAGTATGCCTGTTGATGTTTGAAAAATAGTTACATTCATTTCTGGAGTTAGGTAATACTTAATAATAGGAGATTCATGTTTTACAATATAGACTACACATTAAAAGTGTAATTCAATTTTTAAATTTATTAAAATATCCTTAATAAAACTATTTTTTATGTTATTTTATGATGAGTATTTGAGTAAATTTATCGGTAAGTCTAAACTTTTAATGTGCAATTCATTCTGTAAAAAAAATTTTCAATAATATATTGTGAGCAATCAGTTGTGGAAGCTTTACAGCATTTTTCTGTGAGAAGGATGGGGGAAGAACTGAAGAAGCTTAACAAAAGTAGCCCAACTGAAATCTCACCTTAAAATAAGTTGTATATGACTAACAGAGTATCAAAATCTTTCATATGACCAACTTTCAGGATGCCGAGATGGAGACACAGATATTAAGAACGTTCACTTCCACAGTTAAAGACAACACTAAATTATGCCACAACTTTACAAGGTCTAATACACAACAGTACATAATCTCATCCTGAAAAATTACATCAAAATACATACAACAGAAGCACTTCACTTTGCAAAGGTTATAACAAGAAAATCCCAAATCCTTACCTGTCTTTTCTTCTATTTCCAACAAAGGACGAAACCCTATTTTGATCTGAGGCAACGTTCCATATAAACTTAAATGATCACAGGACAATCATGGTATCCCTCACCCCCACCTGTAGTGCTTTTGAATCATATTGCGTACACTATCTCCCCACTGCTATCAATGTCCAGTTCTGGATCACTCTCTAGGTCCTCCATATCATCATCAATATCCAGGCTACCAGTCAAATAACTGTTTAGACCATTTGTGCCTGCTGGAGGTATGGTTGCTTCTGAAATTATTCGCATGATTTCATCAACGTTTTGTGTAGGTTGATCAGCTTCTTGAAACTGGTTGTTTATTTTGTTCTCATCATCCATGAGATCTGCTGGTAGGTTCTTTAAAAACCACTCATGATTTCTAATTTCACAAATGGTTATCCTCTATTGCAACAAAAAGGAAACAGATCAGAGTTACAAATTGAGTATCCCTGGGAAAGGAAATTCACATAATGACAGATCTCAAGGTTATTAGATAAACATTAAGTAGTTTGTTGGAGAGAAGAACAGGGTGGTAGTAATCCCAGAAACTATTACATTTTTTAATCCACACACACACACCTGTGCTCAAGTGTCGACAAGGAACTAACCTTTGCAGGGTCAGCTACAAAAATCCTTGAGATTAGATGGCGACACTCGGGAGAAATATGAACATAGTCAGGAATAGAGTACTGCACATTCAAAATTCGCTGCAAGGAATAATCAATTATGTTAGTCATGATCTTAAAGACGTGGATAACATCCGACATTAAGTGAGTAAGGACTTACATGTATTGTTTTGTGGAAGTTCTTAGGTTCCACGGGGTCTTCAAAAGGATATGCTCCAACCAACATAACATACAGGGTTACTCCACATGACCAGACATCTGCAATCTGGCATAATAACTTGTAAAAGTTAAGTAAAGATATATTCATAGAACTACGTCATAAATGCATGTGTTGGGTAAGTGTGATATCCTTCCTCTTGTAGTACCCCGTTACTTGATACAGGAAAGAATTTGCTTATATTGGGCCTACACTTTCTAAGTGGCTAATCCTCTTATTAATGGAAGTCACACATTTTAGTCTTACCAAGTTTGCATGCCAAGACTGTATAGAAGTAATATTACCTCGCCATCATATTCTTTCTTGAGTAGCACCTCAGGAGCTATGTAAGCAGGAGTTCCAACAGTTGATTTTGGTTGTGAATGCAACACTGATGACTGTTAAAAGCAAATGATGTCAAAAACTCAAGATGGAAGTAAATAGACATCAAAGAGATACAAATGGGACAACAAAGATTAGTAGATGAACAATAAGAAATTGTCATGAAGTTAAAATATTATGAGAACGCTAAAGGAGTAGTAAATCAAATCAGCCCTCATGAATATGAAACATAGTGCATGCCATAAACACCCTATGTTCATAAGTGGTTTCAAAACAGAGCAGTGAAGAATCTTACATAAACTGCACAGTTATGACGTATGCAAGCCAAGGAAAAATAAAATCTTATACCTTGGAGTAACCAAAATCACAAATCTTCAAACGTGGTGCAGGACTCCCATCCAATAACGTATTCTCTAATTTCAAGTCCCGGTGGCATACTTGCTTCATTGACAAATGCAACAAAAGGGATCCAACTGAGTCACTCTGATGATATTAATATTATGCAAAAAAAAAGCAAAGAAAAGAAAAAAAAAAAAAAAGACATTAAACTAAAGGCATGTACCATTGCATGACAGTAACTAACTCCTGATATAAGTTGTTGGAAGAAAAAACGTGCCTGCACCATATGTCAGCTCAGAAACAAATACTAGAGCACTAAAAAGAAAACAAGACGGTGTATAGAAATGTGTTAGGCAAAAACCTCATCCTCACTGAATCGGCCTGCATTGCAAATACGCTCAAATAGCTCTCCTCCGGATGCATACTCCATCACAATAGCAAGATGGGTTGGTGTTAATATGACCTATGTTACATCACAATACTATTGTGTTGAAAATATCCATCAAGGATGAAGCAATGAAAGGTTTAGGAACAAAACACACCTCTTTGAATCTCACAATATTTGGATGCCTTAGTGACCTATGGTTGATAATTTCTCTTTGTACATTTTCATCTATCTGTTAAATACATTAAAAAAATTGGGAAAATCACAAAACCAAAAAGAGAAATCCATCAAAGTAATCGAACCACAAAATAGCGCATACTAAAATCCATCCTCTATATAGGAAAAAGAAACATTCTGATATCAAGTTCTGCCTCAAACACATGAATTAAGCTTGTAAAAACTTACTAATCCCGAAATAGAAACAAGACAGACTATATCACCATAAAAGGAAAAAGGTCAGACCCTTAAAATTTGGTTGAAGTAAAATCAAAGACACCAACCTTCTCACCTCTCTCGATATACTTGACAGCTACAAGCTCCTCAGTCTGCTTATCCCTCATCAGCCTCGCAACGCCGAAATTCCCCGACCCAATATCCCGAACAAGCTCGTACCGGTCGCTGTCATGCATGATCGGCATGTCCATGCCCGGACCTACTGTCACAGCCGCCCGATCCATTTTCTCTTGCTTAATCCTCACAAAGAAAACAAAACCCCTGCTTCTCCAAAATCCAAATCCCAAAAAGCACACTACTCACATTATCATATCATCGTTCCAGAGACCATCCAGTCTGAGATCGAGATTGAAGAGGCGGTGGTGGTTGTGACGTGGTGAAGCGGCAACCTTTGGATGGTTGGTGGGTGAAGAAAAGAGTAATCAGATTGGCTTTTGCCCGTGAAATCCCTACCCACCCAAATTTCCCCTTTCTTTTTTCCTCCGAAATCTTAAGGATTTGAGGGTAACAGATTGGGAGTTGCAGAGCTCAAAAAAGAAACAGCTCGTGAACTCTGTGAATTTTCTATCTTTTTCTTTCTTTTAACCTCGAATTTTCTCTCTTACCAAACAAGATAAACCCCTTCTCTCTCAGAACCTGGGAAACACAATCTTCCTCCCTCAATAAGTTTTTTTACATGTTCTGTTTCTGTTAATTTAAATTAAAGTTTAATTTGGTGCTTCAAATGAAAGCGATAGGGAAGGAAGACCAAGAAGAAGGGAAGAAGGAGCAAAAAGTGGAAGAAATGATTGGTTTGTGGAATAGTGAATGTGTGGATGCAATGACGGCAGTATCCCTGGATTCTTGGTGATTTACCGATTTTGTCCGAATTTTATTATGCTGAATTGACTGTTTTGGGCTTGCCTGGATAGGGTCCTACTTTTACAAGTTACCACGAACTTTTTTTTAGGACACGTGCGAATTGGTTTGAGGTACGCTGCGCTGTGGAAGGCTACATGATAACACAATATGACTGAGTATTACGTGGTAGGGTTACAACTTACAACCACTATATAAAAGTGAGGCTACTAATTTTTCAATTTTTTTAATTATATTAATTTTTTAACTTATTTGAATTTATTAATTAATAAATATTAATATTTTATTAATTAAGTTTAAAATAATATTTTATAATTTTTAATGACCTTGATATCTTAAGCAGTGATCGTAATTTCATTTATATTATGAAATTGTTTAAATAAATAGTTTAAATTTACTAAAGAAATTGATGTATAATTCATTACATATCTTATAATTATTAATAAAGAGATAAATATCTTGATATTAAAACTATTTCCTCCATCAACATTATAAAATTAACTAGCAAGTAACTAACATTTGAAGATTAATAGTAATTGTTTGTTAATGTAAACTATTAATTACATATATACAAATTAATATACTAAATAGTCACTTCATATAAATAATATAATACAGTTCCTTTCTCATTAAAATACCCAAAATATTATTAAACCTAAATTATTAAGGGTTTGTCTAACTTGTGCTTTTAAAACAAATGTTAAATTTATTAATTGCATAATTTGTAATTAATTTTATATAAATTTTTATATTAGATTCTTTTTTTTTTTATAGATTTTGAGTATAAATATTTTATTTTATTTTAATTTTACATTTTATATTTTATTTTAATTAAATTTGTTATAAAAATCTATTCAAAATTAATTAAAGATATTATATTTAATGAAATTTAAGGCACAAATTAAAAATTTTCAATTATTACGAGAAAAAATGTCAGTTCCAAGTTTTCAACTGAAAACCCTCTGTCCTCTAAAATGAGACATCGAAAAAATAAGCAACAAGTCAAGCAAGGATTGATCTAGAAAATATGAAACTTAATTTTAGATTTGATGGTTTGGAAGACTTCTCATCCATCTCAAACATTAGACTTTAAAATTTTTAATTCCTAACTATTAAAACCTCTTAAATGCACCAGACTTTTAAAGCTCTAATTAATTTAATGGTTGGAAGTTTCTAGCTAATAGTTTTGTTCATTTTCCTTTTGTATTCCAAATTAATAATGGTTGTTGGGATTGCTGATGCAGAGCTCAACTGGAAGAAAGCATCTGAATTATTTTATGGGAAAGAATTCATGAATCACAGGTTTGGCTGGTTCTGTCTATCCACATGGTCCACACCAACTTCCCCTCCTCCACCCTTCACATGGAATCAGAGCCCATTCCATCCAACAGTCTGGAGGCATGAAAGAAACAACTTTCCTCAGTAAACAAAAAGGCAATAACTAAGAACATCATTATTATTGTTATTTTGAACATATTTACAAGGTACGGGATCGAAACCAAGTTCAAGGGAAAAGGAGGAGTGTATTTTTTTTTAATATAATTAATGTCACTGAATCTAAAGGGTCAGGTAACTAATAACATTATTTTAATAGACTAAAAAGTGGGAAAACATATAACTGCTCTGTTGGGTGGATGAGATTCGTTTAATATTTGGTAATCTCAGTAATATTAATTGCTAACAAGGATTGGAACTCAATTATTGGGGTGCTGGAAGCTGGAAAGACATTCCCTTGCAGATAGGGAAACCATCTACTACATGGGGTCTTGAATTTGTGGTTTCCTTAATCCCTGGGAAAGGGCAAAATCATATCCCATAATCATTTATGGAGCTTCAAACATCTGTCAACAACTTCTTGTCCAAACCAAAAGTGACTCCTTCCACCTGAGAATGACTTAAGGAGGGGTTTTTAATTAATGCACCATGATTTTGATTCTGCCATTTAAAAATTTTAATTTTTTAAAATATATTAAATTGATATTAAGAGTATGTTTTTAAAGTTATTTAAGAAAATATTAATTTTAAAATGTGTAAAAATTAATATAAGGAGATTATGAACATAAGTAATAAAAAACAAGAAGTAATTTTAATTTGTGTTAACTAGTATGTGTTTAGTTTTTTTATTGTACATCTAATGTGATGAAAGTGTTTAGTACATTGGGATTAGTTTTTTTTCTTTCTCACATCTCTTATCAACTGTTTTAAAATTTTAAACTCAAAAATCAAAACTTCTAATAGGAAAATTCCAATCTTTTACCGCTTTAATTAATAGTATACTACCTTTTTTTTTTTTTTTTGATAGAATATAGTATACTACCTATTTTTAGAGATGTAAGCAAGTTGAGCCACTTGCTAGTTTTATTTTTATTTTTGGGTGATGTAAACAAGTTGAGCCACTTGCTAGTTTTATTTTTATTTTTGGGTGATGAGTTATAAAATAAGGATAGGGCTTTTTTTTCTCAAATTATTTTTAATATAACTTAAAATTAGAATTTAAAATTTTTAAATTAACATTTTAAGCCATTAACCAATTGAGAGTCAGCCCTTGGCTTACTAGTTTTATTAAAACTTTGGTTCAATAGCCATTGGCTGTGCTTGCGGCTAAGCTGCACAACCCACCAGGATTTCACAGTTCTAATTGCAAGGTTTACACATAAAATTCTCCTCTCCCCCAAAATTCTCCCCTTTTTTTTTTTTTTTTAAAGGAGAAGAAAAAGTATTGACTTAACATCATTTTTTTTTTATTTTTTAACCAAAGCAAAATATGTATATTAGGTACTAACTTCAATTCGTAAATCATCTATATTGGTAAAATGTTACCAAAAAAATATTTAATTAAGGGAAAAAAATAGTCCAAATCCAATCAAGGACTTTAAGTAGCTAAAGTAGTGACGGTTGCCCTTTACCATTATTCAAACAAAAATACTATGGTTATAATATCGCTTGATATTATAAATTTATAATATAATATATTATTATAGAATTTAAATTTATTATTATATATAATATTGTAACTACAGTATTATCTTCTTTTAAACATAATCTGAGATGGTTCTAGCCTTAAAGGTCCATTTTGTCTATGGCTTAGGGGTTCAGGGTTTTAGGTCCATGGGTAGTTATATAATGGGCCAAAAACTTGAGCCCAAAGTTTCTATTAACAACTCCCTAAAGACCAAACAAAGGTATACTTTGGTACCAAATGAAGATATGCTGCAGCTCCTCCTCCCACCTTCATATTCCGGCACCGATTTCATTCCCTTAAACCCTAACCCCGCCAAAACCCCACCTTTCACCCACCCTATGTGCGCATCCCCTTTCTCTTCCCTCTCCATCCTCCGCTTTTTCCGACCCCTTGCCCTGCCCCATCACGCCCACCTCCGCCTCCTCCGCCCCCTCTCACGAGCACCTGTTCTCCGACCCTCCTCCACCCGCCTTCGCACCTCTTTCTTTCCACTCCTATGTTCTTCCTACTCCGCCTCTTCCGGTGTTGTGATTGATCAAGCTGCGCGTGATTCTAACTCTGACGATGGGAGGGGTGAGGGGAACTGGGATCTTTTTAAGTGTGACAATGAGGCGTTCGTTTTTCAAGACGATGGTGGGTGTACTGCGGAGGACGGTGCGCTGCAGCTGGAAGTGAAGGAACTGGCGGAACTGCCGGAGCAGTGGAGAAGGTCTAGGCTTGCGTGGTTGTGTAAGGAGCTGCCTGCACACAAGTCGGGGACGTTGGTTAGGATTCTGAATGCACAGAGGAAATGGATGAGGCAGGAGGATGCCACGTACGTGGTAGTTCATTGCATGCGAATTCGTGAAAATGAAACTGGCTTTAGGGTAATTTTGTTTTTGCAAATTTTGTTTCTTTTACCTCAATTTTGGATTTAATTCCAGCATTTTATGGTAATGTTGTTATAGGGGCATGTCCTAAGTAGCAATTTGAATGTTGGCTTTTCTGTTTCCTTGTTGATGCTAAGAAATGAATCGATGGCTGTACCATCCGAAACAATATGTTAACAGTTATGCATATGTTCTTTCCTTAGTTGAAGCTACAGAAGTAGGCAAACTATGATCTCTTGTTATTTGATCATGCTTTGTGGGTTTGATTTCCTCAAGCAAGGATCTTTATTAATGGGAATTTCTTGGCTGCGCTGCAGGTCTACAAATGGATGATGCAGCAAAGTTGGTATCGATTTGATTTTGCTCTTGCAACTAAGTTGGCAGATTTCATGGGTAAAGAGGGGAAGTTTGCAAAATGTCGGGATATATTTGATGATATAATCAACCAGGGGCAAGTGCCTAGTGAATTGACATTTCATACTTTGATTGTTGCTTATCTTAATGCGCCTGTTCAAGGTTGCTTGGATGAAGCATGTAGCATTTACAATCGGATGATTCAGTTGGGTGGTTACCAACCCCGTCTTAGTTTGCAGAACTCACTTTTCAGTGCTCTTGTGAGCAAACCTGGAGGCTCTTCAAAACATTATCTCAAACAAGCTGAGTTTGTCTTTCACAATATGGTAACATCTGGCCTTGAGATGGGGAAGGATATTTATGCTGGCCTAATTAAATTGCATAGCTATCAGGATACTGTAGATAAAAATAGAGTAAGAGAACTAAGAAATGAGATGAGAAAAGCAGGTTTTGAGGAGGACAAAGAAGTGCTTGTGTCCGTCTTGAGAGCTTGTGCAAGTGAGGGGGATGTTGAGGAAGCTGAAAGGACGTGGCTTAAACTACTTGCTTGTGGAAGCAGTGTCCCCTCTCAGGCTTTTGTGTATGTAATGGAGGTTTTTGCAAAAGTTGGAGAATTTATGAAATCTTTTGAATTTTTTAGACTGATGGAGAAGCATTTGGGTTCTGCCAGTGTTGCAGCATACCACAAAATCATAGAGGTGTTATGTAAAGCTCAGGAGATGGAACTTGCAGAATCTCTCATGAGAGAATTCATAGCTAGTGGTAAGAAGCCACTTATGCCTTGTTACATTGATCTGACAACTATGTACCTCAATTTGAGCCTACATGATAAACTGGAGACAGCCTTCTTGGATTGCCTTGAGAAATGCCGGCCCAATCGTACTATTTACAACATTTACTTGACTTCTTTGGTCAGAGTGGGCAATCTAGGCAAAGCAGAGGAAATTTTCAACCAAATGCTTGGTAATGGGACAATTGGTATTAATGCTCAATCATGCAATGCAATTTTAAGTGGATACCTATCTTCTGGACATTTTGTGAAGGCAGAAACAATATATGATCTGATGTGCCAGAAGAAATATGAAATAGATTCTGAATTGATGGAAAAGCTGGATTATGTCCTCAGCTTGAGCAGAAAAATGGTTAAGAAACCTGTGAGTTTGAAGTTAAGCAAGGAACAAAGAGAAATTTTGGTGGGGTTGCTGTTAGGTGGGTTGCAGATAGTCTCTGATGAAGAGAGGAGGAATCACATGATCCGGTTTGAGTTTAAGGAGAACTACGTCACCCATTCCACCTTGAAGAGACATATTCATGACAGGTACCATGAATGGTTACATCCTTCTAGTAAGCCTATTGATGAAGATATACCTTACAAATTCAGCACGATCTCACATTCTTACTTTGGGTTTTATGCGGATCAGTTTTGGCCAGGAGGCCAACCCAAGATCCCAAAGCTGATCCACCGTTGGCTGTCACCACTGGTTCTTGCATACTGGTACATGTACGGAGGTTACAGAACATCATCAGGGGATATCATTCTGAAGCTGAAGGGAAATCCTAAGGGTGTCGAGAATGTTGTCAAAACATTGAAAGCAAAATCTCTGGAATGCAGGGTAAAGAAGAAGAGGGGAGTGTTCTGGATAGGCTTTCTGGGAAACAACTCTACATGGTTTTGGAAACTGGTTGAACCTTACATTGTGGATGACTTGAAAGACATTCTAAAGCCGGATGGCAACACCATGGAATCTAATGACAATGAATCTCAAGACATCAACTTTGACAGTGGATCCGATTCTGATGATAACTTGTAGAGTGACTACTCATATGGTATGCTTCATAAATCATTTGATCATGTAAGTTGTGAAACTGCTTCCACAATCATAATATAAAGTTGTACATATATTAGACTGGATTTGAATGAGCCGTGGATTATCTACTCTACTTTTTTGAATGTATTCAATACAAAGTCATTATAAAATTCATTCCATCTTTATTTTATTTTTTAAAAAAAGAAGTCACTATGAAATTGTCTAGATTTTTTTACTGATAATATTCTTGATCTAACAGCGGGAGGGATTTGGGAAGAAAAGAGCTATTAATGAGCAAAACGATGCCTTTTAGTCTGGTTCGGTTTGTTCAAGGACAATGCAAATACAATAATACCCTCGTGTCTGGTAGAAGAATTTGCAAGATCCAAATTATAAGAGACAAATAATGTGACTAAAAAAATTGCATAAACACCATAAATATGTTTCAAATGAATAAAGCCCTCAGCAGACACTTAATGGCCATTGGGTGAGGAAGATGGCATTCCCTCATAATGTTTTTCCTATTAGTTAATGAGGCCCAGATTCCTGCAAGTATTATCTCCATTAATTTTTCTCCTTACAGACCATCATTCGTGGACTTGAGTTATTTTGAAAGTGCAGTATATATGGCTCTGTTTCCTCAAAAATTTCTATTCTCAAAGAACTTAGGTTAGGCCAATAAATTTTGAGGCCTATCATGTTTGTATCCCAAGCAAGAGATTTTATGCATAATGCATATGGAGAAAATCTTTGTGTCAGGCTTCTATTGACTGCCTTAACTCCCATATGCAGACTTGATGCTATGCCTTGAAGTGTCTGCTGATATCTTATGTGCTTAAGCCTCCATCTACTTAAGGGCTTTAATTTCCATGTGGCTTCTTTTCTTTTTCCCTGGATTTGGACAATCTCCAGCTGACTCAGAAAAAATAGATTGGCGGACCAAGCAAGCAAGAGAAGAAAGTGAGTAAATTTCAAGTTATGTGCTATCAACTTGCTTGGTCCTACATAATTTTGGCAACAGAGAATGTTACTGCTCGACGAAAGTGATAATGAACACAATTTCTCTGATGAGAATTACAAGTTCATAAAAGAAAGAAAGTAGGTTGACTGTAAAACTAACATTGGTTTACTATTTAAGCATGCATTGGCCCGAGCAGAAAGGGAAGAAATGGAAGACAGGAGATTCTGGCTTTCGAGCTCCCCCTTCCACTGTCAGATGCATTAATGAAATTTTCTGGTACAGGTGAAAATGCATTACTTTACAGTGCTGCTGTAAAGAAAAAATGGGATTCATAAGGCAGAAAGATCTGCTGGTATGCAGTTTGCCTTTTCTGTTCCATGTTTTAGCTAAAACAGTTATTATGTTGCTTCTAATGATTTTGATATTTTCTTGATCTGCTTAATGATTTTGAGTTGTAGTTATAAAAACCTCTTCCTCTTTCAAATTACACCTGTTCAATGAACCAGTGTAATATTATGCAACTTTGAGTTCTTTTAGCTCCTAAATGGCTAAATTAATGATTACCTTTGCTGGTTGAGCGGCCACAAAATCATTTTCAGTGCCACGTTAAACTTCATTTATTTTCGAAGTTTGAAATTAAGCTTAAGCCAGTTTACAACCATCTGGCCTGTTGGATGCTCCTACCCCACAAACTTTCCAAGCTTGCCAAACTTATCAACCTTTTATCCCTCTATGCTTAACATGGTTTGTTGAGAGTTTGTTCGGTTTGCTTCAACAGGATATTTGGGAAGCGATAGTTACTTCAAGCCACTTTTCTTTTCTTGCCTTTCTCTTTGAATTCAAAACTTAATTAATATATCTGCTGCAATTGTAAATCTTCTTGTTCTCTCCATTATTTTAGAGGATTGGATTACCTGCAAATTCATAGCATTGAGATTTTTTGCTCACTCATGGTTTTGTGTGTTTTAAAAGGATCCATCCAGTGGAAGGAGAATTTTATATGATGATAAGCTCAAAACACTCTAACGTAGACTCCTTCGATGGCTTCTCAGTCGTGAAAAGCTTCTGGCTGTTCATCAAGACATAAAAGTGAGTTGCTTCTATGTACAGACATGAACCCATTATTACTATGCAGTTTTGCTTAGTGATGAAGTTAGTTTTCTCATTGTGTCCGGTAATTTTGTATCATTCTAAAATATTCAACGAATGGAAGCATGGAATCTTCAGGAAACTAGCTAGTGCTACTTGTCCTTCCATATTGTATCGTGTGCCTTTTTTAGCTTTTTCCTGCTTTATTTTTCTCTCCACTTAGGTTCGTTTGGAGAGCAGGTTTACCTCCTTCACATAATTTGGACAAAGACGGCACCACATTGAATTTACTTGGACAACTGAAAAGTTGTGGCCATCTAGAACGCAGGTTTGTCGTGCATTCTGGCCTTTCAAGGACGAAAAAAGGGTCAAGAAAAACTTTCATAACCAGTTTGATCCATCGCAACGTAATTTGTTTCTGGCATGTGCATAATGTGCTTTGCGCCATATAACTGGTAGGCCTTTAATCACCATAGCAGACCTATATATATAACTTATGTCATAAATATGAATCCCTGAGACCTCTAAATTTGAAGATCGTTGAGTTATATAAAATTGAACACCAGGTCTTATAAGGCAGTTGATTGATCTAGTTAATACCTTAATTAGTATCAAAGCTTGAATTATAATGATACTGTGCAAATATTTTATGCTCCCTAACCCAAATTATAACCGTTGAAAAAAAAAAGGGGAAAATTGACTAGGAAAGAGGACAATATGGAGTGACACTTTATTTATTTATTTATTTATTTTGTTGGGACATAAATGTGATTGAAAGAGTGGGTTGGAAAGAAAAATAAATCAGCAACTAAAATAGATGAAAGCAAAGAAAAGGGGTGAACCCCAAATCGGCAGTTTATTATTAATTTTTCTTTTAAGTAAAGTAAAAAATTTTAAATTAAATTATTCTTATACAATTATAATGAATAAAAAGATTTCAATTCAAATTTTTAAGTATCAAACCCTGCGGGTCAAGTGGCATTAGTTACCTCATTATGCACATCCCCCTCTCTTGGGCTTGGGTTCGACTTGAAAAAAAAAAATCAAATTTTTAAGTGAAATAAAAAGAAATTTAAAAATAAAAAAGTGTTATCTTTTTTATATAATTTATAATTATATATATAAAAAATAAAGTAAAATTTATCTGACTGTGCAATTTAAGATAGAATAAACGGAGAGGAAAGCTATTGAAGAGTGGGATCCACCAATATTCCACATGTTCGAAGCACTTTCGTTCATGCGCGGCGAACCGATACTTGAGATTTCTCTACTGTCATGATTTTGCCACGTCATTTCCGAGCATATTTTCCAAAGTTAGCAACTTAGCATGTGCGTTATTCTCCGTGCATTAAAAAGATCATTTTTTTTTTTTTAAGTTGATTTGAACTCTTATTCTAGCTAATAGTAATATTTTTAGAACCAAAGGAAAACTCTTGGCAAAGCAATGATGGTTCCCCACCTAAAAGTTCATATCGAACTTGAGATCGAGTTTTTTTCATTCTCCTTTTCCTAAAATGTAATTTTATTTTTTTAAAAAAAGAATTTTAGAACCTAAGACTCTTGTTTGGTTTCAAATTACGTAATTGATTTTTTGAAATTAGGGTAAAATTGTTAAGAGTAAGAGGTTTCTTTGTTTTCCTAGTTAGTTTTTAAATTGATTTTTAAAACCATTATTTAGTGGTTTGCTTCACTAAATTAATTTTATCCTAGAACATGAACTCTAATCTCCTTCTTAGTATTTGTTAAAAAGTCTCATTTTCAACGTAAAATATGGGAACATCTTGAATATATTTTTATAATTTATCTAACAATATATAGTTGTATAATAGTAGTTAGTCATGTTTTTTTCCTGAATCACTTCTCATTTATTTTAAAATTCAAATTAAGATCTCAAACTTATAGAGTATTAAGTTACTGATTAAAGACACCCCTATGCAAGCATTTGAAAAAGAAATCATGCTTTTCTTTCTATTTTACTTAAAATTTTTGGCATAAGAGTACCTAATATGTTCAATTATAAAGATTTGAACTCTTATGACATATAAATTGTTTTTTTTTATATGGTAAACGTTAGCTACTTTTTTTGTTTTAAAATAATAGTCAACTATTGGCTCAAATTTGGTCTCGAATTAATTTTTTTTTTTATATTTATTTGAAAGTAAACAAATACCATTTTTCTACTGTAAGCCTATTACTATCAATTAATTAGTTCAAGGGCCAAAATGACCGTTATAACATTTTTTCTACCATTAGAGAGAAATTAGATTAAATCGATTTTTTTTTCAAAAAAAAGTGCTTCAAATCTTTACTTTAGTTTTTACTAGCATGATTGTAATGCGTTATTAAAGATTTGAAGTTTGCAGGAAGGGGAGTTAAAGCAAACTCTCTAGTTAATTAGTCCACATATGCTGCATTTCTTTGAAAACAGTTGATTGTTAGATAGGAGACCCCCTAATTAAACTCCACCAATGCAAGGTCAAGAGGCTTCTTGCTTACATCACCCACATTTCTTTTTTTGATGAGTATTCACAGATCAATTAGGCAGATGTAAAAAAAAAAAATGATGATGTTAGCTCTAAGAGGATGGGCCAGCAGGGGTAAGTGGAATATTTAGCTGCAAGGACAAAGCAAAAACAATAATGTCATTCAACAACTCCAAAGAGCAGACAAAGACACCTCCAAATCCTAAATGACAAATTAATAACAGTCCCTCACAAACTGTTAGCATTGCATCTTTATCATCTTTGCATTGTTTAAAAGATTCCATCTTCACAATGGCATTAATGTTGTGAAATTAGACCAGCAAGCACTTGCAAGTAAGGCGGACCAATACATATAATTGTGATCGTCATGTTGAACCTATAAAACTAATATATTAATTAAGTTAATTTATGAATTTTCACATTGATATATAATTTGCCTTCTTTTTAATTACTAATTATGTGAAATTTATTACACTCACATATGACTCATAACAAAAAGATACCCTTACAAGAAGGTTGAACTTAAGTTAATTAAGAATGATGACTAGCTAGATCAACCTAGATATGATAGGATTTAAAAGTGGGTAACCAAAATAAAATCACTATTAAAGTTGAGCGGCCCATGAAATAGTTTATCTTTATTTAAAAAG